TATACACCCACCCCCCGAAAGAACTATAGGCTAGGATCCGTACACTCTACCATCCTTACTAAACACGTTTCATTATAAGGGATATTTTTCTCCCCATTTGCCATTTGAAGTATTCATGCATGCTCTGTCTACCCTGTGAATGTTAGTTATTTGCTATTGCTTTTCAAGTGTGCATTGTTAATTGGTGTAATAAATAACAATAATGTCTTATTTTATCTTGTTAATTATTTTTTTTGTTTTTGTTTGTTTTGTACTTTGAGCTAAAAGTACGCCTCTGTGTATATATTTATTTTGCCTGCACTGTTGTGCATTAGTGCATGCTTGACTGTTGTCTAATGCAGGCTGCCACCTTGGAGCTGGGCCTCGTCAAGCTGCACTTGTTGCAGCTTTTTGCCCCAGCTGCCATTTTTCTTGTGAAAGACATAAAGTATTAATTGATTGATTGATTGAATGTGCATTTAAAAGTAAATGAAAATGATCCTTGCGCAAAGCATTTTTTATATATTCTTTTGAAGGACACCCGCCCAACACTCCACTTCCGCTAGCTGCAGGACGCGTACGGGAGCAGAGGCCTTCATTTTGGGGCGTTTTGATGCAGTTTGTTGTCTTATGTCGCGTCGGTGTCGAGTGGAGCAATGGGGCTTGGGATTTTTTGACCGGTGTTATTCGTGATCACTGGTGTGGCGCTGATGCATTTTTCCTTATACCGCCACCACCCCGAACTTTGAAGATTCACGTGCCCGTATCACTGAATTATGCTGAATCGCGAACACCTTCTGTGATGACGTCGTTTTCCTGCTACCCTTCGTGGTTACTGCAAGCGTTTAAACAGTGCGCACCGTCTAGCCTACATCCCCGGTGACGTACCAGTCCTGTCGAAACTTATTGCTTCCGTCATTTTGCAGTACGCAAGGCAGTTATCTCGCTGCTCTGGTTTCGTTTACAAAAGCAAGGCGAAATGCTCGTAGTTCCCGCCCTCAGTACACGTTGGACATCTTCCACACTTTGACACCGGATAACTGGATGAACGAGGGTTTACATTTACTTCAGAGGTCACTCTCGCTGCTCCCTCACCGTCAAGCGGCAGGATCAGCTGGCAACAACCCGCGGATGAAAGGTTTGAGCATCAACAGCACAAGTTCACTCGGTGCCGATGCGGGCGATGCGGCTTTCTATCAACCGGTAGGCCAGCACAAACCGTGACCGTTCCAGCTCTTCGTCATGACACGATGTTGCACAGAGTAGGGTGCACAGAGCACGGATTACCGAAGCAAACGCACTGTTATCGTAAATCTTGGCTTGTGATTACGCCTTTAGAAATCATCTTATTCGTTTTGCTGGAGAGACACAAACGACGGGCATAACAAAATCGTTTGAAAATTCCGAGTACCTCGCAAAAGCACTTTTTTGTTGTTGTTAGAGCTGTGAATGATTCGACAACGGTGGTGATCATGACATATCGGCTGGAAGTGCTCGATTATTTCGAGTTACACGAGGGGCTGGCACGGGCCTTGACGTCGTCGTTTGCACTAGGCGTTATTTTTTAGAGAAGACACTCTTAGCGAGCTCAAGCTCTGTTTTATTCTGACTCTTGCGAGGACATTTTATGATCTCAGTAAACGTTTTCTTTGAGTATGTTTGTGTGATTGCGTTGGTTGCGGTACATGGCAAACAACAGTTCGATTTGGTAACGGGGCACGGTGCCTTAGATGCCTTCCGTCGATGATAGAATTTCATTTTGCTGCAGTAGCGGCCTTCCTTCGCGGACACCCAGAATATGTGGGTGAGTGGTTGCCGCTGCATTTGGCATATTTCAGTACTTTTCTGCAGCTACATTCCTTTGGACTATAGCGGTCTTGCACGTAATTTGCAGTGACGTTCACCTCTACAGTCCTTGATGATATTTCCATATCGTTCACAGTTGAAGTATTGAACTGCTTAAACAAGTATTCTTCAACAGGATGGCCTCTGAATCTCAGGTTGACTAGCTGAGGCATAGCTCGGTCCGTCCGAAACGTGAGATCTGTTGGCAGTGTTATAGACCGTCACGAGATGGCGCCATGTACCTAATAATAATTTCGTGCAGTCGTTCTTTTTTTTATTTTTTGCATTTCCCGCTTCATACATAATAAACAAGATGGCAACTTGTAAGCTGTGTGTTGTTTCTCGGCTCACGGCCAATCGACTCAATCCGAGTCCCTAGAAATGTTGTCACCCGGCGTACTCAACAAAACCAACAAGTTAAGGGTCCAGGACGACGCATCTATCATTATTTTGGAAGAAAAGAATAGGGATCGCGTTAAATATGTGATAAAGAGATGAGACTACGTTGGGGAAGAAGAAACTGTGAAGCAACACTGTCTTTGCTACGCCGTGCCGATGTCTGAAGAAGTTCGGACAGGCGTGAGCATATTGAAACTGTCTGGCCGAAGTGACGTTCAAACGGTGCGTTTCGATCGAGAAAGTGGAAAAGTGTTTCGTCAGATGGACGGAGTGTCGCCGGATACCGGTTTTGCTGCGGACTCCATGTTGGTGTGTTCGGAAGACGTCTAGAAACACCAAGTGTGTGTGCAGCGAAGTTGTCGGTAAGAAGGGACTGACGAACGGTGTATGAGAAGCCTTGCGCTTTACGTTAGAGAGACGGATCGTCGTACGATACCTGCGATTGTCGGAAAGAAGTGACTGACATCGGTTCGGTGCACGCCAGTGGCGAAAGTGTCGGGAAGAAGTGACTGACGCGCTAGTGACAAATTTTTCGGGATAGAAGTGACTGACGAGGTAGAAGTGACCTAACCAAAACTGCATAGACGATTTGTGGAAGACGTCGCCAAACCAGCACGTGTGTTTCTGCTTTGCTAGAAGCCGCAATACATGCTACGTGAGCCCAACGCAAGTTTATTGTGATAAGCTTACTCGAACCACTCTCGACGAAGCAAAGCGACACGATGGCGGCACTGGAAGAATTCCAGATACGAAAACTTTAAACGAAAATCACCTTGCGTACGCGATTGCAGCCAGAGCGGCACTCGTCCAAAAAGGCTGTTGGGAGCCCATCGAGCACAGGTATGTCGAGAGAAAAATTACGAACGACGGGAGGAACATAAAAAAAAGTGCTTTGACATTCATGTTCCTAGTAGTGGAAGACATCTACCTGGACGACATTGGGGAATGTTCGACAGCATCCCTGGAATGCACAGGGAAAGATACATTGATATTGTGGCCTCCTGCTAGCTCGTCAGTTGATGCGAGACTTTCGCAACGCCGTAATGAAGCCAGACGAAACCATGAATGAGTAGCTGGTCGAATATTGAGCCTACACAGGAAGCTTTCAACGACACGATACGCGTTCACCGACGGAAGACACGCCCTGGTGATGCTGATTGGGTTTCCAGAAGCGTAATAACTACTTTTCCTAAATCTTGAGCAAGACGAAGGAACGCTCACGACGAAGAAAGGGAATGCAAGGCTTCTAGTAGAAGAAGCACGCCAAGTCAAATCTGAAGAAGAGAAACTAAATGAGAGTGAAGAAAACAAGGCCCCCATGGTGAAAAAGAAGCCCTCTACTAAGAGCGGTCAGATTCACAGATATAGCAGGCAAGAACATATTTCAAGGAAATAAGCAACTGGCAGTGGTAGAAGGTCCTCTGAACCGAAACAAGGAGCTTGGTGTTTTGCGTGCAGAAAATTTGGACACTGTAAGGATCGACGAGAGCTCCGCGGGTGGGCCGTTAGCACCAGGGAGATTTGGCTGGGGAAAAAGCGCTGTTGTAAACACTTCCCTTGGCGGGCGACCTCGAGAGACAGGCGTACTTTACGACGCGAGGTTCGGGCGCGCGTTTTCTGCCGAGAGAATCGGAGCGTGCGTTCCGGGCCGGAAAAAGTAAAGTTACACCACCACCGCCACCAGAGCGCAGTAGCTCTGGCCGGCGCTGTTTACACGGCGCGTTTACATCGGTTTAGTCTTTCTCGCCCGAGTGTGGCGGGTCGCGGCAGAACGGCAACGTCAGACCGCCTCTGGCAGAATGAATTGCGGGATGGCTCACTTAGTCGGCGCTATCCACACTGGGGTCGGTTGTCCACTTCGCCTTGCGAGAGATGGTTTTGCTTGCATCCGAACCAGCCCGACCTTTGACCGTGAGATGTACGCAAACCGCGGGTTCCCACCCGGGAATACAAGCAATTCCCACGTGGCGAGAAAGTGAGCCGATTGGTTGGCGGTGGGAAACGCCTGTCTCACAACGCATCGAGGATTCGCCGGTCCACTAAAAGGGGACGGACCAACGAGTAACTTGGATTAGAAACTCAGCGAGTGAGTTTAGTTCGTGCTGGGGCTCGAGAGCTGTCGCTCCGTAATCGAGTCAGGTCGTGGGATTCCGAGGGACCTCTGTCCCCGTAATCGGGACGTAATCCCACGAGCCAGCCAACTCCCGAGCTTGGATGAGCTAACACCCGACCACCTCCTTCCCAACCCCGTACAGGGGAAGTTATCATTTCGCAGTATTGTTTATCTTTGTATTTTCATTCTCTACCAAAGTATTAAATTGTTTATTGAAAAGTAATCCCCGAATTCAACTGAATTAGTCGTCGACGGCCAAGGGAAGCAACTTCGTCTCCGGCAAGACCCGCCCAGCTTCCCACAACGAAGCCCGTCACCCCATCCGGACCTGGCAGTCCGGACGGCGCAAGGTGACCGAGCAACGAAAGAACCCGTACTGGCGCAGTCGACAGGATTGGCTTCGACGACATCAAAATTCAAGAAACATCATCGAGCGGCAACAGAACGACTACCGCAGAGAGCCCACGCATCAGAGACCGACTAGCGTCAAGGGAGCCACGGTCACCCCGTGCCATCCAGTCCAAGGGAGACTCCGCGGCGCCGGTGAGTGGAACCTTCACGTTTCTTTGGTGTGTGCGCAGACGTAGGAGTCAGTTGGCAGGAAAAGATGAAGAAATCGGGGGATAGAGCGAAAACTGCGCTATGATGGGATGGCGTCGAAAAGATGTTCGCGGCCTACGGAGTGCCGAATGAGAGCCGGGTACATCTGATCATGCCGGCCTTGTCGGAGAGTTAAATATCTTTTTACGAGGTTATCTGCGGAGGAGATAGCTAGCTACGACACGGTCAAGGCCGCCGTCCTGGACGAGCTCCGACTCACCCCTGGCGAGTACCGGAAGCGGTTTGCCGGCGCGCGTAAGCGAAAAGACGAGGGATGGGCGCAGTTCGCCTCGAGGACGGCCAGCTATTTCAACTACTATCTCGAGGCGCGCAACGTAGAGAGTAAGGAGGACCTGATTCATCTAATGGTCGCAGACCAGGTGAAGTCGAGCCTCAGTGAGGAGTGTCTCCGACACGTCACGCTGCGCGAAGAGACGAAGTGGCTGCAGGCGCACGAGCTAGCTAAGGTAGTACAGATGTACGAGGAAGCAGAGAGAGACGGACGAGCGGCGAGGGGGGCGGATATCAGAGGCGAGGGATCGAAGCCGAAAAATGACGGTGCGAAGCAGACCTCTTTTCGCCTTTCACCCCGTTGCTTCAGTTGTAACCAAAGTGGTCACATGGCGAAGAACTGCCCTGCGCGTGAGGGTCAGACTCAGACCGCGCGAAAGTCACACGTGCAGGCAGTGGCAAAAAAGGACGAATCCGCACCTCCGGGTGCCCCAGATCAGCTAACGGCTGTGATAGATACGGACAAGAAGCAGGGGCTCGGAGGATCGGGTTTGATCCTGGTCGAGCTCTCCTCCGGTGACCGGGAGCTGACCGCCGTGCTAGACACCGGAAGTGAAATAACAGTCGTCAGAGAGAACGCCGTTCCGCCGGAACTGGCCGAGCCTAGCGGCACAATTCGCCTTGTTTCAGCCTTTGGGCAACAGGTAACAGCAAAACTCGTGCGTTTGCCGCTGCAAGCCGGACCCCGAAGCGGGGTTAATCAGAAAGACCCGGTTAGCGTGCTATGCGCGGTGACCGATAAACTGGCTACCACGGCGGACTGCTTACTCTCCTCTGACGACTGGCGGTTGTTAAACCAGCGCGAGGACCAGGATTTCGTTCGAATTCGAGACAAAACGGTGCCCCTGAGCACGACAGCCGCGGTGTCGAGCGCATCGGCTCAAGACGCTGGGGAGAGAGATCGGGAACCCGCTTCACCGGGGGGGATAGACCCAGAGGCCGGTAGTACCGACGCGGGGGAATGTGGGTCAGGCGGCCCGCCCGAGATCGCGAAAAAAAACGCTGACGGCGGGGATGCGCTCCCCGATGGGGGAGAGAGAGGACGGTTCCTGGAGTTACAAAGGGGCGACGAGACCCTCCGTTCCGCTTGGGAGAACGCGAAGGGTGGCGGGGGCGGTATGTTTGTCCGCGATCGACTGTTATTCCACAAGGACACAGTGGACGGAATCAGGGTGGCTCAGTTAGTTTTGCCTAGGGAGAGACGCGCCGAAGTTTTGGAGCTCGCCCATGAATCACTCTGGGGGGGCCATCTCGGGTGCAAAAAGACAAAGGCGAGGATTAAGGGCGGCTTTTATTGGCCTGGAATTGAGACTGATGTCCGAGAGCATTGTCGCTCTTGCCATGGCTGTCAGATTAGGTCGGACAGAACCGTGAGGGACAGAGTTCCCATCACACCGCTCACGCGGCCGGAGAGACCGTTCCAGGTAGTCAACATCGACTTAATTGGCCCACTGGACGTTGCGTCGGCCAGGGGACACAAATATGCTCTGTGCCTGATCGACCTTTGCACGCGCTGGCCAGAGGTAGTACCTTTGCGTAATCTCACGGCGAAAGCGACTTGCGACGCACTGCTGGATATTTTCAGCCGAACCGGGGTGCCTGAGCTCGTGTGTTCAGATCAGGGAACTAACTTCACGGCGAAGCTCACGCAAGAGCTGCTCTCGAGGCTGGGCTGCACACCGCGCTTCTCGACCCCAGAGCATCCAGAGAGCAACGGCTCGGTCGAGAGGTGGAACCGAGTGTTTAAGAACATGTTATTCCACGCCATAGAAAGGGACCCGCGAAACTGGGACCGATTGGTGCCATTTTTGCTGTGGGCGTATCGAGAAGTCCCACACGAAACGACAGGCGCGTCGCCCTTCCGGTTGCTATACGGAAGGAGCCCCACGGGGCCACTAAATATACTTCAGCATACTTGGACGGGGGAAGTCCCCGTACCCAGCACTCTCCGAGAGGCGCCGGCGAAGTACTTAAGGCAATTAAGGGAACAGCTAAGCGTGGCGGCAGAGGTTGCGGGTCTCACGAGCGGAGTCCAGCAGCGCGCTTACGCAGAGCGCTATAACCGCTCTGCCAAGAGCAAAGGGTTTAGGGTTGGAGATCAAGTGTTGCTATTCGAAAGTGATCCCCCCAGCAAGATGGCTCCGAAGTGGCTCGGGCCTTTCACAGTTTTGACTATTGAAAGACCGTGTTCCTACCGGCTGGAACTGGGGGAGGGCAGGACCAAAGTAGCCCACGCGAACCAGCTAAGAGCGTACAGGGCCCGGGTGGGGCACGTGGGCGTCATATTTCATGAAGACGTGGAGTTCGGAGAGGTCAGCTACGCACCCCGGGAAAGCAGAACGACCGAAGAGACGGGCCAGCTTAACCCCGAAAAGTTTGATCACTTGACGCCTGACCGCCGCGACGAAGTGCAGGCCGTGTTCCGAGACCATGACTCCGCGTTCCGAACCGCTTTGGGAGCCGCGGAGGTGGGCGAGCACGAAATCAACTTAGAACACGGATACGTGCCTAAAAGGTCGTACCCGTATCGAATTCCGGAACTGCTTAAAACAGAGGTCAGCAGACAGGTGGGTGAGCTGCTAGAATCAGGGCTCATCTACCCGGTCGAAAGCGAGCATGCGCACCCGGTAGTGTGTGTCTCCAAAAAGGATGGCAGCATCCGCCTTTGTGTCGATTACCGTCGCTTGAATACTGCGACTATACCGGACGCGTTTCCAATGAGCAACCCTCAGGAGCTCATCCTCCAAGTAGGACGAGCGAAATTCATTACTATCCTCGACCTCCAGCGCGGATATTGGCAGGTGCCGGTGGCCGCCGAGTCACAGCACCTCACAGCCTTTGTAACGCATGAGGGCCAGTTCGCGTGGAGGGTGATGCCGTTCGGTCTAAAGAACGCGGCCGCTACGTTCCAGCGGTTAGTCAATCAGCTGTTGACGGGTCACCAGTCGTACGCCTGCGCGTACTTAGACGATATTGCCGTCTTTTCCGAAACATGGGAGGACCACCTTCGCCACCTCGACGCCGTCTTGGGAGTTCTGGAGCGAGCAGGGCTGAGGGTGAGCAAGGAAAAGTGTCAGGTGGCTAGAGGGTCAATCGCTTTCCTCGGGCATATCGTGGGGTCAGGAGCGCACGGCCCCGACCCAAGCAAGTTAGCCGCGATCGAGGGCTTGGATCGTCCGCACACTAAGAAGGAGCTGCGAAGCGTCCTAGGACTCTGTGGCTATTACAGAGAGTACGTGAAAGACTACGCTACTATCGCCGAGCCCCTCACGGCCCTCACCAAGAAGGGAGTGCCGAACGCGATACCTTGGCCCGAGGAGGCAGAAAATGCATTCCTGCGTCTCAAGAAGGCGCTCTGCGAGGCGACGAGTCTTTCGACCCCGAACCTGCAGGAGCCTTACTGGCTTTTTACAGACGCGTCAGCAGTGGCAGCAGGGGCATGCCTGGCCCAGATCGGGAGTGACGGAGCTGAGAAGCCGATCGCGTTCGCCAGCCATAAATTCACTCCGACTCAGACGCGCTGGTCCACCATTGAGCGTGAGGCATTCGCTATCATTTGTGCGCTCGGCAAATTTGATAACTGGCTCTTCGGCGCAAAAGTGCACGTCGTGTCGGATCACAACCCTTTGTCCTACCTGACGTCCTGCAGTCCGCATGGGGCAAAGCTGTCAAGGTGGGCTCTAGCGCTACAGCGCTACGATGTGATCGTCACCCACAGAAAGGGGTCCGCTAACGGTAACGCAGATGCTTTATCTCGCTTGCCGAACAGATATTGGGGTACCACTGACTCGGCGCTGCGCCCACCCGAGAGCATGAGTGGTTCCACTTGCCGCGCGGCCTGAGTCATCCATCTCAGAAAGTGTGGCGTTGCTGCTGTGTCCGTGCGTGGAGAAGAGACTTCGTTGGACCTTGCGACCCTTATAACTTGAGATTTGCACGAGTCCAAAGACAATTCTGTTTTGCGAGGCGTTTTTGTTTTGTTCCCAAGCGCGGATATTGCAGCAGGCGTGTTCCGCCCAACGTTTTATATTTTTTATTTTATTTTTATTTCGCTTCTTTTTGCGTATACGTTGACGTGTGCAATGTGACATGTACGTATATTTACCCGTATAGTGGTGTACTGTCATTCAATAGGCGGACATTGCAAAGCGCGTGTCTCATGGATTTTCTTTTACACTTTGGTGTCTGTAACGTTGAAGTGCTCGGTTATATGTATACGTATTCATCTTCAGTGTTATGCGCTTATTTTCGAAGATAATCGTTTTGTTTTACACCGCCAATTGCGTGTTTTTTTTCTGTTTTTTTTTTGTTGCTTTGTATGTAGAAATGCGAATGATGTCTTCGATCCTTTTTTATGTTTGACTCTTAGATGTTCTTTCAGTCCAGCAAGAGTCTTAAGGGGGGAGGTGTAAGGATCGACGAGAGCTCCGCGGGTGGGCCGTTAGCACCAGGGAGATTTGGCTGGGGGAAAAGCGCTGTTGTAAACACTTCCCTTGGCGGGCGACCTCGAGAGACAGGCGTACTTTACGACGCGAGGTTCGGGCGCGCGTTTTCTGCCGAGAGAATCGGAGCGTGCGTTCCGGGCCGGAAAAAGTAAAGTTACACCACCACCGCCACCAGAGCGCAGTGGCTCTGGCCGGCGCTGTTTACACGGCGCGTTTACATCGGTTTAGTCTTTCTCGCCCGAGTGTGGGGGGTCGCGGCAGAACGGCAACGTCAGACCGCCTCTGGCAGAATGAATTGCGGGATGGCTCACTTAGTCGGCGCTATCCACACTGGGGTCGGTTGTCCACTTCGCCTTGCGAGAGATGGTTTTGCTTGCATCCGAACCAGCCGGACCTTTGACCGTGAGATGTACGCAAACCGCGGGTTCCCACCCGGGAATACAAGCAATTCCCACGTGGCGAGAAAGTGAGCCGATTGGTTGGCGGTGGGAAACGCCTGTCTCACAACGCATCGAGGATTCGCCGGTCCACTAAAAGGGGACGGACCAACGAGTAACTTGGATTAGAAACTCAGCGAGTGAGTTTAGTTCGTGCTGGGGCTCGAGAGCTGTCGCTCCGTAATCGAGTCAGGTCGTGGGATTCCGAGGGACCTCTGTCCCCGTAATCGGGACGTAATCCCACGAGCCAGCCAACTCTCGAGCTTGGATGAGCTAACACCCGACCACCTCCTTCCCAACCCCGTACAGGGGAAGTTATCATTTCGCAGTATTGTTTATCTTTGTATTTTCATTCTCTACCAAAGTATTAAATTGTTTATTGAAAAGTAATCCCCAAATTCAACTGAATTAGTCGTCGACGGCCAAGGGAAGCAACTTCGTCTCCGGCAAGACCCGCCCAGCTTCCCAGAACGAAGCCCGTCACCCCATCCGGACCTGGCAGTCCGGACGGCGCAAGGTGACCGAGCAACGAAAGAACCCGTACTGACACATTGCCAGAGATTGAAAGGAGGGTACTGATGACGAAGGATGCGGCATACAGAGAACAAATTGTAGTGAACCGAAGAAGGCGCTCTGTGCCGGAGGTGAGAGTTCCTGAAGGTCACACATCTGGTAGCTTGACAGTGAACCAGCTGACCACATGACGTCAAACTGCGCCATATTCACCAAATTGCAACCCTGCTACTCGTCTGTTGAGGCAGCGAATAACGATGTCATGGAGGTTGTCGGGAGAAGGCAAGTGGAGATTGAACTCTTGAAAAACTGCGGTGGCACTGTCATCGAGCTCAGAGACGTCTCTACGGACCAAGCTTAGAAGGTAACCTCTTGTCTGTTGGGAAGATTGAAGAACGTGGGCTGTACGGGACTTTCAGCAACGAAACAGCTAAAGTAATAGAAGCAAATGGTG